TTTTTTTGTCGTAACTAACACAAACATAGGCCGAATTACCTACTTAAGATTTGATAGATGTACATAGTACACAATATTGCAATAATACTATCTTAGTACCTCAAAGTTCTGGCTGTTACCGTTGCCGTTAATGTAGCTTGGAAAAGGGGGCGGTGCTGCTAACGTAGTCATTGCACCACCCGCACCGTTTTCTGTTGGGGTTTGTACTATGCCTGCTGTTGATCCCGTTACTGAGGCAGTGGTTGAATTTGCAACTTTTTTCGTAGATTTATCCAAGTTCTCGCAAAATGCAGAAAAACTGCTAAAATCCATTGATTTGATTACTTCCATTTCGATGCGGCACTAACGATGGTGATCTACACACCACTAGACCGTGTCTAGGTATATGTATCTTTAATTAGCAGAATTCATGATAGAAAAAGTGAAGCTAAGTAGTTGGATGGAGGAACAAGTACATTTTTAGTGAAATCAGTTCAAACCTATTTTACAATTGTATCCAACAAGCATTTCAGTAAACGTTTTTAAAAATAACTTAAATTAAGTTTGCTATAATAAGCGTTAAATAAGCATTTTTAATATTAAGCTTATTAAAAGTTTTTTCAAACAAACCTTTAATAAGTTTTGAGAGCGAATGTTTATAAATAACTTAAACTTATAATTGAAATGTAAATGCCAACGACATGAAGTAGTAAATATAAAATTTTTTCAATCGTAAGTGACGTGTTTACGTTTTTTAAAATATATTATTAAAAGAAAAAATTAAATAAAACCAATGCGGTAAAACAAGAAAATCCAATCCAGCGCTAATCGGTGGAGCATTCGAGTCTTCAAATGATGAGTTCCCCTTATCCTTTCTTAGTTTAACATTCAATTAAAAATGTATTAAATTTTTTTCAGAAAAGTTCATCAATGAGAATGGCGGCGATAAAGCGCAATATATAGCTGCATCGATGTCCCTTTTCCAATTTGCCAAAAACCGCAAGTAATTGAAAGCACGCAACAAGATGTAATAATTAACTTCTTTATGCCTAATTTGTATGTGTTATTGTGAATTTGTATGCTAAAATGTCTATTCCCTATTTATATTTTCGCGACTGTAGATGAGTCCGCCGAAAATTCGCATTTCGTTTAGTTTCTAGATGTTAAGCAATCTATGTATGAGTTTTTAATGAAATATCTTTAAATAAAGGGTTATAAAAATGTTTATGAAAAGCTTTCTTTTGAAAATGTTTAATAAGTTTATATTCATACGCTTATAAAAAACTTTTTTTGAAACTTTATTATAAGTTTACTCTTTTACGCTTATAAAAAGCTTTCTTTTGAACATTTATTACAAGTTTATATTTCTACGCTTATAACCAATGTTCCTTTTCGATTATATTACGCTTACTTTCAAACGTTTTATAAACAAAAAAGCAACGTTTTGTAAGCTTGATGTTTATAATTGAAAACTTAAAAAAAACTTTCTTTAAGTTTTGCTTGTTGGGCAGTTTTTAGCCACTGCAATTTTAGTCTGATAATGTGCAAATTTCAAGTGGCTACGAATTACCGTTAAATTTTTAGAATTTTTTTTGTCGCATTGGCTTTCACATAATGGATAAACTCAATTTATTTGTATATGGATAAAACCGCAACACCTTTGCCGAAAAAAATTCTAAAAAATCAACGGTCTCTTTTAGTCACTTGAAACTTGCACATTATCAGACTAAAATTGATTGGGCTATAAAACTGTGTATTCAGAAAAATTCAAACACTCCCAAGAAAAAAGTTTGAAATTTAGGTGAAAATTTGTTGCACTTTTTTGAAGTTTTCTACAAATTGTTAAACTTGGGTTTATATGGGGTTTGTTAGAGAAAGAACTGTATTTTAATTGAAAATTCTCAAAAATAAATAAATACACATAAGTTGCACACAATATAACTTTGAAATGGCGTGCTATAGATATGACCGATACTGTATGTATAACAACAGATTCAAGAACACTTGTGCTTAAGTACTTGGACGTTTGCATTTAAGTGCCTTCCATGTATTTAAAGTTCAAAGATTAATTCGCAGAATTAGCGTACACTCACACAAACAACCGAATCCTTACCCTGCAGCAAAATTTAGGGACAGTCTGGCAAAGCGCTAGTTCCGCCCTACAAATTTCAGAACTGTCTCTGAACTACTGCAAAAGGGATGCAGAGCTGGACGGTTGAAACTCATATGTTGCTAGTTGCGCTGTCATCAATGTTACTCATCATGGTCATGTGAAAGCTGACAAAAGATGCACAAATGTAATTTACTGTATTTTTTCGATTTTCTTAGACTCTAAAACTAATAACGAACACACTTAACAGAAGAGGTCTGTGTACACCATTTCTTTTTTAAATATTCACAATATATTTAGAGTTAAAATCTGTTTGTTATTATTTTATAAAAAAAACGAGTATGCTTAAACCAAACTCATATAAACCGTATTTTAAAACTTTATAAAAAACAAAGTTAAATTTAACGATTTACATCAAAAGTTTTGACCTTTTTATCAGATTAAAAAAAAATAAACAAAAGTGGTAAACAATCTCACTTTGAAATTGGGGTGCTATTGGTATTATTGATACTGAACATACATAAATATATATCTGAGCACCCGAAATGTGTAGCTATGCAGTGATTTTTATACCCGAGCGCACTTGTGCACAAGGGTATATTAATTTTGTTCACATAACGGTTGTTTGTAACAGCCAAAACGAATCGAGATAGATATAGACAAATGTATACATAAATGATCAGGATGAAAAAAGAAATCGATTAAGCCATGTCTGTCTGTCCGTCCGTCTGTCCATCTGTCCGTCTGTCCGTCCGACCGTGTACACGATAACTCGAGCAAAAATTGAGATATCTC